GTATAGCCAAGGCCTTGGAAAGTTTTTTGCACCCCTTTCCTGACCTGATACCTTGCAACGATGAGATCCTTTTGTTGCTTTATGAGGCCTTTGCAGACCATGGCTTTTGTTGTAAGAGGTAACTGAGTTAATGTCAGAAAAACCCTAGAACAGCTGAACTTTATGTGGATGTCATTAGAATCACTTTAAACAATGGAGGATATGTACTGACTAGTACAGGCAGTCCTCAATTTATGACAATTTATACTGTTAAGTGAGTTTTGCCCCATTTTACAATCTTTCTTGCCTCAGTTGTTAAGTGGATCCCTGCTTTTGCTAAGTTAGTAACCTGGGTTGTTAAGTGATTCTGGCTTCCCCATTCATTTTACTTGTCAGAAGATCTCAAAAGGTGATCACATGAATTTGGGACACAGCAATGGTCGTAAATATGAACGAGCATCTGAATTTTGATCATGTGACCATGGGGATACTGCAAAGGTTGTAACTGTGAAAAACAGTGGTCGTAAGTCATTTTTGTTCAGTAACTTTGAATAGTCACTAAACGAATTGTTGTAAGTTGAGGACTACCTGTATCTATCATCAGTTTGAATGGGATGAGTTAATTTTGAACACAACTACATCCCTACATAGCATGTGAATATTTATGCAGCCCCATTATTCTAAGTCCCTCCTCCTAAGATTTAGATGTTTTTCCATTATATTATACAACTTCTGTGTTACATTAAGGGTGGAAACATTCTGAAGTGGTTATCTTGGTCTGATTATTTTACATCTCAAAAACCTGGCATTTGTGAAGACTTTCTATATCCACTGTAGTCCTCTGCTAATGACTACTTGTTCAGAGACTGTTCGAAGTTACAACGGCACTGAACAAGTAATAGTTATGACCGTTCCTTAAGTTCCAGCTGTCCTAGCACCCCTGCAATCATGTGATTGGGATCCTGATGTTTGGCAACTAGTTCACACTTACAACAGCTGCAGCATTCCAGAGTCATGGAATCACAATTTACCAGCTTCCCATAAGTCATTAGGGAGGCCAGCAGGGAAGGATGCAAGTTGCTCGGATAAGTCTCTTCCACCCAGGCACCTTGCCGGCCACCTATTCTTCTTGAGCCTTGTTGCACTTGTGCAGCCTCTCCCACCCAGCAGCAAGCACCCCAAGCTCTGCTGCACTTACACTGCATCTTCCCTGCTACTTGTGCATCTTGGTGCACACTCCCCCAATCCCTACTGCACGCACACTACAACACCCGATCCTCCAGCCATTTGCACCTCTTTCCTCCACTGGCCACCTTCAGTTACCCAGCTGTAGCACTTCAAGTCCCACCACACTAGCGCCATGCCTCCCCAACCACCCGATACACCCCCTTGCTCATTCTCCTACCTAGCAGCAGCTGCTTACCTATCTATCAGCCTGCCTGTAAGCCAGGCTGGGACTTCCAACTTCCTGCTGCCTGCTCCACTGACTTGGTAGTTGGAAGCTGGCAGGAAATTGCCATCACTATGCAATACAGTCATGTGATGTTGCACTTTACAACTGCATCACTTAAGGACAGAAATTGCCAATAGCAAATATAGCAACTTGAAGGCTACCCGTACACCCTGCAGTTAGGTTGGTGCTGGTGATATGCCCAATGGAGTAAACTCTTTTAGTCTTTGAGTATTCGCTAATCTGCCAGAAAAAAAATTTAAGAACCCAAAAAGGACCACCAATTCACAGAATCCACATTACTTTCTAGCTTCATGAAATATCTGTTTGTGATAAAATAGGAATCAACTAGCTGGCATGCCAGTTGTAATTTCAGAGAAAGATACTGTCCACAATACCAAACACAAACTGTGAACAAAGTTGATTACTAAGAGATGCAGTTTCCACCACTTTGGGGGATTTTACATAAACATCCAAATAGATGTAGCTTCTACTGTGGATATACTGTTTGATTTATTCTGAGGTCTTAATTAAGTTTCAAAACAGTAAAGCATCTGATTATAAATTTGCCCTTCAGCCATGAACTTGTGGTGGTGACCCTTACAGAACGCTGCATGACGAAATCTATGTGATTTTCTCCTTTTGGGGACATGGGTAAAAAAAAAGTTTGAGAAGTAGAATGCAGGCACATACATTCAATAAGGGCAGGTGTAAAATGTAAACCACCCATTTTTAATCCATCAACTTTGTGATTGGTAGAAATGATAAAAAAGGATGTACTTTAAATAACAATTACCTTAAAACAATCAAAATGTACTCTACTAAATGGTTTCTTCCCTAAATGCTGCTGCTAGCAAGATGCTAAGCTGCCACGGATACTATAAAGTACTCATTGCAGGTTGCACTGCTTTCGATGACAGCCATCTCCTTAATGCATTTATGCATTTCAATCAATAAAAGACATTTTAAAAACTCTATCTTATTTTCCTTGGAGATAAAAATAAAATTTGAATTGGCAGAGTATATTCATTCCCTTTTTCTTGACAGCTCTCAATTCTGAGTTTTCAATTCAGCTTCCATTTCTATTATGGTTTAGCTGAAAATCATGTTATATATGAATCTCACTGTAATGTAAATCCCAATATTCTACATTTAAAAAACAGTGAGATGATTTAGATTTTCTTTTAAACTGAACAAACCGGATTGTTTCTTTGTGTACTCCCTCTTACTACAGTCCACCCTTTGCCTCATGGGATTAATGTGAACTACCAAAACCATCCATCTATCAGAATTTCACCTAGAGTAGGGCTGTCAAACTTGTGACCCACAAGCATCAAGCGCTGGCCACGCCCATGCCCGATTTAATGGAGGGAAAAGTCGTGATACATCACGTGACGATGCTGTGATGACACGAATTTGACACACCTGATCTATTGCCTCTTGTACACCGACCTGGGAGAAAGTTTCAGAGTCGTGTTACTTCACCACTCCCACTTTCCTAGGCTTTCTCTCTTAAATATACATGGTAGGAATGTCAGATACAAAGTCATAAGGCATGACATTGAGAAATGCCTTCAAATATGGCTGCTTGGTGCTACATCCTAAAGATTTTATTTTTTTCGGAGGAGCTGTTCTAGAATTAAGTGTCTGAATGAGAAGGGTAGTGTTTATATTCTTTGCCCAGTCTACAAGAAGCAAAGGACTTGATCCAGCTGTGGGGCTCAAGCTGGTTTTAATAATTGCTTTAAATAGCCACCTCAAAGGAATAAAATGTGCTAAATTTTAAGTATTTAAAAGCATTTGGAGAATAATTTTAACAAACAAGTTTCCTGATATTAATCCCTAAAAGTAACAAAAGACTGCAAAAGTTAAGAAGTTAAGCAGAAATTACTTAAGTATTCTTCTTTAATCCTTTTATATAGTACTTCCTCCCTCTTTAATATATATTTCATATTTGGAGTTTAGAACTGAAGTAGAATATGTATGGGGCAATTTTTAAATTATCTAAGGAGCGTGCAGCATAATTTCCAGGGAAGTGCCAACATCTGCTTCTTTACTGACCATCAGGGGAAAAAACAATGATAATTCAAGGGAGATTTGAAGTATAATTTTAATGTTACTTTCTTTCAATATTTTTGTTTAATGGCTATTATCATCTTATGCTTAATTTGTGAAACTCAATGAACAAATTTAATGTACTGTTAAGCTTTGAATTAATAAAAAAAAGAACTCCTAATATATCAATGACATAGGATAAGCTCTACCAAATGGAGAAACAATTACATTTGATATTAAACATAAAAGTTGAGGTATTTCAGTGAGTCATGGTGGTACATACAATTAACACTGACAACTTAACAAAAATGCCCTCTGGAACGTTCTCCCTTCAGAGATTAGAATAGACCTGACCCTTTTGACCTTTCATAAGATCTTAAAGACCCAGTGATATACTGGGACCTGGTAAGGATCCCATTTTGTTAAGGGTCCCATTTTCTGGTTGGATTATAATTTCTTGGCAGCTGCATTTATTTTCTCTGTGTTGTATTTGTAATTTGCTTTTATTTTATATTGTTCACCACTCAGAATCAGTTGTTTGGTATCGATGGCCTTATAAATTGAATAAATAAATAAAATGCATACCTGAGGATTTCTGCCTTAAACCATTATCAAGTAAAACTAAATATATATATATAAATTGTTGAGTACTGTCTGATAGGCAATGTATTTAGGATATAAGTGTTGACAGACACGTTTCCATTTCTGCTGTGATTAATTCTAAATATTTCCAACTGAAGTAATGCATTCTTTCCTATATATCTCTAATTCCAACTCCTCTTCCCCTTCCCATATTGTTTCTTTTTCTTCAGCTGAATTAAGATTCCTCAAGATATGTGAGGAAGGGACTTGATCTCTTATATTCTATAAAGCATTATGGACACACACAGACTTGTCAAACTATTAATTCAGAGAAGTTATTATGTATTGATAAAGACTGAGGGACTCTAATGTACCTTACATAAAGCATACCGACAGTTTATCTGAACAAAAATAAGTCAACATACTTTGTGCACTTACCTGAAGCTAATTTATTCCAATGTAGTGAATACTTCAATAATAAATCATAGATAACTGCAATGCTTCAATAACCATGTTACCCATAATAATTAATTCTTACAAAATTTTGGGTTTAAAATATAGCAAAGTATGAGGAAACATAGTACATTAAATTGCGTATTTAATGTGCCAAATGTCAAGCTATAAATATTTACATGTATTTAGGGCATTACTTCCTAGATTAGAATGACATGCCAAATTATACAGCCTTATTACTATTAGTTTATATATTTACAAATAAAACGTACCTCCCTAGAATTAGCCCACTATGGAACAATTGGCTATTTTGCCCAATATTGGGAAACTAAATCTATTTCAGGCTCTATTTTATTATTCAAATGCATGTATTTGCTTTTTTAAACTCAATTAAGCAAATTTCCCACCCCCAAACCCTTCAAAGTAATAAACTCAAAGCAATCAGTATCAATGTAGATGACTTTGAAAACAAAATACTTACATCGGGCTGGCATTCAAGGAGCAATGATCCACCATCATTTCTGGGAGGAAATCCAACTTAAAAGCAGCCATCACTTCTCTGCTTACCACAAACCACTAATGCTAGATCACTGTCCTGTCGAACCAATTGAATACCACCACTTAAGTTCTGCAGGTCTTAACACACTGAGCCACATAGAAAAACATTCAACCACAGGAACATAAGCTCAGGGAGACCAGCAACAGACACCACAAAAACAGGCTGGACTGGGAGAGAAACATGAGGACCAGGATTAAAAAGGGGATGTGACCATATGAAGAGACTCAGCTCAGTATACAATGAAAATGCTGATGCACTGGACATGTTTTGTGCAATTTCCCCTACTCAAGCAGTATTCAGCGCACTGTTAGAAAAACAGTGTCAGATCCGCAAAGATGTTTGTGTGCAACAGAGCAGAAGGAACTCTAACTTACTTCATAATTCTAATCATGCTCTCTATTCAAAAAATGATAGTAAATATTGCATATAAATGGAACAGTATTACAGGACTCAGTAATACACCGGGTTCCTGGTGTATTTACTGATTACATTATGCTCCTGATATGAGGCAAGATAATATTATAAAGTAGTGTATGCTGATTTGATCCAGGCAAAAATAGTATGTAACTAGTCTCACCCCACCTGCTATTTCTCAGTAAAATTTATAAACCCAGATATAAGGAGTTATAAAGGAGATGAGTGGCTTAAAATGTGAAAAGTAACTAAACAATTATTATTTCTGCCTTGAATGTATTATACGAAAGGCACTATATATACAGGTATTCCTAAACTGTTGCAACTGTTTAATGACTTTTCAAAGTTAGGATGGCCTTGGAAAAAGTGACTGACGACCCAGCCTTGAACTTATGACTGCTGCACAACTCCCACAGTCATGTGATCACCTGATTTGCATTTATGACTGCGGTATCTTGCAATCATGTGATCACAATTTGCCACTTTCCCAGCTAGTTTTAATAAGGAAAATCAACTGGGAAAGTCAGATTCACTTAAGGATCGTTTTATTTAATGACTGCAATTATCACCTGAAAGACCATGGTAAGGAATGGTCCTAAAATTGGGTCTAGTCACGTGATGACTTGCTTTAAATTACACCAAGTTAGATTGGAAATTCCAGACCAAATTGCAAATCAAGGACTACCAGTAATTGCCAGTTCCCCAAAATCATCGTTAAAGAAATTCAGACACTATTGGAACATTCTTGAAAATATAAACAAGTTACTAGTATGATTTTTCCTCCATAGAAATGAACAATACTAATATTATGTTGAAATTATTACTTTGCATAATGGATGTTTTTCAAGATACAAGCTCTATTGGATTCAAATTCAAGGTTCAGTCCTGTAAAAACAATGCAGCTCTAAAAATGCTGTTGAATAAATCTGTAATCTGTCTGCAAAAAATTTTGAGTATATAATTGTCCTTATTTATCATGTAGCAAGTAAGCTGTGTAGATACTAACTAAATAAAAACATGCCATAAAATGTTCTACGTAAAAGGCTTCCTAGCAACAGGAGCCATGGTTGCCTCTTTTATATCTACTTCCAACTCCTATGCCACCATGGGATAAAGAGACACACACACACAATTCTATCAAAATACATGTCACGTATACCACCTATGACAGTCTAATTTTAAAACCCTGCAAAATTTCAGTTTTTTAAAATCACATTCATTAGAATATTCAAAGATATAATTCTATACTTTTCCCCCGAAGTGAATTGCCATACACATTTAATGCATTAATCTCTATCTACTTCAAATATTTTTTCTTGTTTACAATTGCATTTTATATTGATTCTGGATAACACCACAATAGGTTATGTTTGCTGATTCAGTATCAATTTTATCCCACAACATATTTAGGGCAAAAATTATACTCACATTATCTTCTTTTTTCCCCTTGGTAAAATCAATAAACATCTGCATTTAACATGCAAATACCAAAATGTTAAAACATTTTTTATCTCACTCATGTATTAATTCTTACTAATGTATTACCTACAGTTTTCAAATGTAGTTTGATTCTATCTCTCATTAATCTCACAAAGGAGGAGGAATGATTAACTGGGAATCCAATAATCTGGAGAACTGGAGACAACACAAATTTTCTACCTACTTCTAAGTGGGAGACAGAGAATGCCCCTATAAAAGAGCATAAGAGAAAAAAACCTGTCACATACTTGGGGAGAATCTGAGAATTTTAGGTAACAAAATGCATCCAGAATTTGGGCTAGACTTATTCACAGTTGGGCTTATATATAAGTATGTATGTATGTGTATATATGTATGTATGTATGTTCACACACACACACCCTATATAATGTGTATATATACTATATATATAAAACTATCCATACATGTTATGTATACTCATAATTAATCCTGTCCATGAATAAGCAATCCCTCAAATTTTTAATCATGAAAATTTGCCACCCATGGATAAACCAATTGTGAAAATTAAGAATACAATCCTTTTGAGGTTGGCTTATCCTATTGATACATTTTTATGATTTTTGTTAAAAATCAAAAATCAGTTTGTACACAGATGGACTTATATAAACATATAAAAGATATTAAATTTACAAGCAGAATATGAATATAACAGCACTTTCCCTCGTGCTTCTATTATTCAGTGGCACACTGACCTTTAATGTTGCAGAAAATGCCCTGATGTACTGATAACTACTAGTAGAAATCTGCTCTCTTAAAGCCGTGATCTAAGTGGTTATTATTCTGTTGTAGCAAATGCTCCAAATTAGCCACTTGCTGCTGAAAAAATTGTTTTGATAGGTCCTAAATTTCCTAAATGCTTGTCATCTTGTGGTTGGGCATGGACAGAAACAAGATACTAGACTATATTTAAGTCCTAATTCTGGCATAATCTAAGTAAGAAGTGAGATTTAGCAGAATATATATGCAAAGCTCCTTCATATAAACACTGTTGTACAGGTGGCCCTCAACTTACAACAGCAATTGAGATTGGAATTTCTGTTGCTAAGCAATGCATCTGTTAAGTACAACTGCTTAATGACAGCAACCCCATAGTCCCGGTTCCTATCGTAACCTGAAACCCATATTCATTTGGGGTGGCAAATTCTTCCAGCCTCCCAAAACCAAAGAGGGTGGGTAAGCCAGCAGGAAGTTGCAATGCCAGGAAGTTGCAAGTGTCAAGCCCATGAGCAGTAGGCTGATGTTGTTGGGTGGAAGAGGGTGTTGGGAGTGAGTATGAGAGTCAAGGAGGGTATGAAGGAGAACAAGAGGTGTGTGGGCTAGAGGGTATGTAAGAGACATCACATGGCTTGGGGAGGGTGTACAGTGATGCAGTGTGGGTTGGGGAGGTGCATGAGTGGGTAGACATACCCCCGCGGCTTGTGACCTTCCCTGCCAATTTCCCTCTTGACTTTCTAGGGAAGTTAGCAGGGTTACAAAATCACAATCACATGATTGTGGGATATTTGGAAACCAGTTGTAAGTGCAAATGGTAATCACATGACCATTAGGATGCTGGGACAGCTGGCATTCTGAAGACCAGTTGTAATCCATCATTCATTCACTGTTGTCTTAACTTGGAATAGTCACTGACCGAATGTTCATAGGTCAAGGATCACCTGTACAGACATGCAACTGTTTGGGTCTATGGAAATAAAAGTGTAATACGCTTTTTTAAAGGCTGTGCCTATTTTGGGATTCACACAATAACCCCACAATCCCACGAAAATAATTGTTTCATGCCCTACTGAAACATTCATTTTCATTTAAACTGCTTTCTACTTTCTCTTTTCATGTTTCTTTTTAATTACATACTTTTACAACTGTTTTTTTCTCTATATGCTTATTATACATTATCTTTTTGATTTTTATTTTCCAAGTCATTTTTCTTCACCTCTTTCATCCCATTTTTCCATGAAGCATCTTTTTTTTCATAATTCTTATTTACATAAAACTGTAGAGCAAATGTAGAGTTCCACAATTATGTATTTGCCTCACCAGTTTTTAATATATTCTCTTTTCTAAAGTCTATTTTTATTCATCCAATTGATCTATCAATTTATCTTTTTTTAAAATAGAACTTGAATATTCTCATCTAATAGTCACTCTATACTTGCTGCTATCAACTAATGGATTTTCTAAATTTGGAACCTCTCAATACCTGTCTATCCTTTACTAATTCTCCGAGTGGTTCATCATAAAAAGATCACATTATGCTCATTTGTTTCCTTGTGTATACATGAAAAGCCTGTTGCTTAGTCCACATACTCAAAATGGAGATTTAAAAATAAAAATCTAATGTCCATCAACAATTATTCTTTGTATTCATTTCTGGATCTCTAAATTGACCAATCACTCTTTTTGTATTTAATTTGTTTCCTTCTTCTCTTGTTACATAATAACTTTGTACTCAAGCTGATATTCATACATCATATATGTTTTCTGAGGTTCTCGCGGGTATTTGTATGTGGATCTTTGGTTGTTCGGGTTTTCTCCCGCGTAAGATTTCAAGTATCTAGGCAACGTTTCGATGAAGTCTCATTCATCATCTTCAGGCTTCTGTCTTCGGCTCTGTGCTTCTCAGAGTGTTTCCCCAGTTTTAATTCAACTCCCTAACCATTACATCTCACTCTGAGAAGCACAGAGCCGAAGACAGAAGCCTGAAGATGATGAATGAGACTTCATTGAAACGTTGCCTAGATACTTCGAATCTTACGCGGGAGAAAACCCGAACAACCAAAGATATATATATATATAAAACCAGTATTATACCCTTTACTGGAAAGACTTCTACCAGAATATGAATAGAGACCACTCAATGCCCAGAACAGTTTATGCATGTTATGTTTTAGAGTGGCATAACCTGAAAATAGGAAAATGAGAATAAATGGTATTGGAATAAAATAGCTTTAATTATATTTCCTTTTCTTTTTCTGATCTTAAGCCCTTAATGTTTTTGCTATTGTTACGCCTTTTCAAAGATTCACATAATATTGCTTATCTTGAAAGAGGATAGGAAAATGAGTAATCCTCAACTTACAAGAGTTCATTTACTGACCGTTTGAAGTTACGAAGGCACTGAAAAAAGTGACATGACTGTTTTTCACACTTACAACCCCTGTTACTAACTTAACACCTGCATGGTTCATTTAACTGTGGCAAGGAAGGTTGTAAAATGGGGCAACATTCACTTAACAAATGTCTCATTTAGCAACAAAATTTTAGCAACAAAATTTTGGGGCTCAATTGTGATCGTAAGTTGAGGACAACATGTACTCTTAAAAGAAGACTTCCTGACCACCTATCACATATTTCATTTGTTTTTATAGCCATAGGGAAAGAAAAGTCTTAAGTGAATATTAATAGTTATCTGAACTGGCAATCAGGGCATCGTTGAATTTCGGGGGGGCGAGGGGGGGGGAGTTGGTACAATTTTTACCAAAACCAAGCCCTGGTTCTTCCATTATCATTTACACTCCCATAAAAATATGCAACCTATAAATTCCTATTTTCATACAGGCCCACAATTTTAAATCAATCACGTGTTCTGACATTTTAGTTTTATCATTCATAATTAAATACATCTTTCACTTTCCTATAGGCATTTATCAACTCTGCTCCACAAAATCAGAATATTTTAATATTAGAACTTTTCAATTGTTTTTTGTTTCATATAACAGACGTTAGTAATCCATGACCTTTTCTATTTACTTTTCTTACATTCCAAGTCTCAATCTTCCATGTGTGTGGCTATTACCAGACAGGCCAGCAGTTCTCCCACACCTATCATATTTTTGGTCAATCAAGACTTTTAGTTAATATATTTTACTGAGATAAAGAACATGTAATCTTCTGAATTATTTGGTGTATTCATAGTACACACTCTTTGAAAATATTAGACACCAATTTTTTTTTCTGCCTTGTGAGCCAATATATATGCTACCAAAACTTGTATAGGACATACAAGTTTTTATAAAAGACACAGAACTCTTTAACTGAAGGATTCTAGCCTTTCATACTCAGAATGTAGCTGTTGTGATTGTAATTTGCTTGCCAGATACAATGTATTACACCCTACCCTCCCTGCATATGTGACACATGGCTCTTAATTATGTGCAGAATCAGATTACCTGAGCCCCTCCCTCTGCTATAAATACAAAAGGTTGATCCTTTTACAACAAAGAACTCACCAGAAGTCTGTGGACTGTGGCTGGAAAAGAGCAAGGTTTTCCATCTCTTCATCAATCTCTGAGTAACAGTTTGTATTTGCAAGAAGCTGGAAAAGTCTAGGAAACTGAGGTAGAAACACATTTGCTTCAGAAACCTGCTATTTCTATAGTAAATAGGAAAAATCTCAAGCCAGGCATTTGTGTCCATTTATGCATTTATTTATTTATTTGCCTGGTGCAAGGTGTCACAATTTCATATAGGGTACGATATCTGGAGGTGATATATATATATGTGACCTTTTATCTGTATTTCAGGCTGTTTGTTGAAAATACATGCTTTTCTTTGGAAATTCTTGTGATCCATAACAATATGTAACTTTGCTAGTCTTTTTCTGGAAACTTTGGGTGTAGAGACCTCCACTTTTAATAGAAGAGCACCATGTGTATTTGTTTTATTTACATTTTACTTTTACTTTAAAAAGTTTGATTTTGTTTATGCTTTGTGAAACTGCCTTAGCTCGTAAAAATCAATAGGAAAGGGTGAATCCTGTCTCTGTGCCTCTAAGCTTCAGAGTGAAGAGCAGGCACTACTGAAATTATTTCAATGTTTGCATTATGACTTAATTGCCAGAATAATAGCAAAGGGCATAAAAGTCCTACATCTCACAGAAAATAGGTTTAGGAGGTGGATAGGTGGTGGTAACAGGGACTACTGCACTGTTGTCCCAGAAGTAATAAACAAACAAGGGTACAAAAACACAGAGGGCTTCCTGAAGAGGCCCCTAACCATTTTCCCTAGAGATTTCACCATCAACCACAATATTTGAAAAGGTTTACATTTACAATCTTTGGAAAAATTGAAGGATTTCAAATAGAAAGGGTTGTCATTCAATGATAAAACACATATTATGACAGCTGAAAGTCCCAAATTTAATCCTGGGCATAAAAGGAGGCCTGAAAGAAGGGAATTGTCTGCCAATCAATGTAAAAAAAAAAGTTAGACCAATAACTTATCCCATATTAAGCAGCATGCAATTTTAAGTTAAATTCGGTCTACAATAGCAATGTTGCTTGTTCAGATAGTTTATTTATATACTGACTTGTTTCCAGGAGCTCATAACAGTAGAGATGTCACTCCCCCTGCCCATTTTCTTCCCACAATAAAATCCTACAGGCAAGTTGGCTGAGAGGGACTGATTCACTCAAAGCTGCCCATGAAGCAACCCTGGCTATGGGTAAACCTAAATCTCACTTTCCCCAGTTTTAATTCAACTCCCTAACCATTACATCTCACCAATTCTCTGATCACTGTGACATGTCTTCAAAACTACAGCACACGCAACCTTTTGTCTAATGCCCTTGGCTTACCAGTAACTAGTCTCCTAACATTCTGTTTAATCCAGGACAAAATAAAGTAAATTAAGCCACATGGGTAGTCTTCCATCATCATGGATAAATATGCTTCCTCTAACAATTTAGGAGCATGGTGCATCATGCCAATGCAATTCTATGTTTTTTGCCTTAGCAACATCAATCAATTGGTGAATCAATCATTTTTTTTCAACGATAGCAAAAATTATATTTGAACTCCACCAAATACGAAGCCTTGTAATTTGAGACGAAGGCAACAGATCAGAATAAGTGCAAACTGATACTAACTGAAGCACATCTTAACTTCATATTTATAAATGATGTGATCTAAATTAGGTATAATTACTACTGAAATTCTACAGCAGAAATAGGCAATGTGTCTTTGACATTCCCCTTGGTATCAGTAAAGCTCCCTGCCCTATGTGACATTAATCTCTTGGCTGGCTGAGACTGCTGAAGGTCTTGGGCTTCTACTTCAGCCTCAGTACCACTGTCACCAAGGAATGCCATTGAGCAGAATAGCCATGGGGGGGGGGGGGGGGGGGGAAAGGGGGGGGTGGAATTTGGAAGGGTGGGGGGGGGGGGGGGGGGGGGGGGGGGGGGGGGGGAAATCACAACTGCCTCTTCTAAATTTGTATGTGCTAAAGAACACAGAGGAAGGCTATTCTCCAAGTGGAACAAACTCGACTGTTTCAACTAACACTGTTCTAGAATTTTGTTCTGAATGCTATGATATGGCTGCTGTTTTATGATTCATTATTGATTCCCCCCCCCTTTCAAAATATTTCCATTTGTTGTTTGTTGAGTCTAGGATAGAATAATGAGACTCCAGAATGCTTTCTAATGCAAATGTATGCAGCATAAATTGATAGTTACACTGCATTTTGAAAATGTTGGAAATTAAATTAGCCTAGTGTGCTTAGGGAAAAAAATATTCAGTTTACATAACCAATAAGTACAGATATCAAATACAGGCGTAGGACAACAGAATGAAAGTATTAAGTTCATCCACATTCCAAATTCAATTCATTGGAAGTAGGCTGGAGGTAGATATTCAGACAGGATATATATAAGACTCTTGTCTACATGCCATCTTAGTACATATAAACATGGAATAAGATGACTGACAAATTCCAGGAAACTGCCCTCACTTGTTCATAAGATCAATATGACAAGAATTATTAAAGCACTAGATAGATTATAATGGTGCCTTGGAGATTTTATCTTCCAGGACAAAAGAATTATTTTTTTTAGCAAGGAGCCAGGTATTAAGAAAAATGTAGCATATACTAAAAAGAAAGCGTTATTTGGCAATACTTTTATATGAGAAGTACTCAGGTATAGCATTAATGGTAATCTGAGAAAAACATTTAACAAGTAAAAGAAAAATCAAAGCAATGGGGATATCTGTTATGTTTCTGCCTCAAAAAGCTGCACTGTATTTTCTATAATATTTGATTTCCTTCTTTCCTTTCCAAGGGACTGGTTTTATTTTGGAAAAAGTAGAAACAAATGACCATGAAAACAAATGAAACAGAAGTGGAAAGGATGACATATAGTAGCTTAGTAAGCCTAGAATGTGTGTTTTAATGGAAAATTTTACACTAGCGATCAATAAACTGACCATCATAGAAATCGCCATTATGGGCATGTTGGCTACACTGGAGAGAGATGAAATTCAGGAGAATCTAAAGCAGTGGTGGAAAACCTATGACACAGCTCTCAATGGTGACATGCCACTATGTTTTGAGTGGCACGCCAGCATTCAACAATACCTAACAACTATTCATGAAAGCATGACCTGTTCTTGTGTGATTTTTGGATGCTGCAGAGCCTCCCAAAATGTGAGAATGGGATATCACGTGGCCTTTGAACCCTCTGAAAATTGTGTGAGAATAGGGTGTGCTTTCATGCAGTTTTCAGAGGCTGCAGAAGAGTATTTTCTGCACCCCAAGGACTATGTAACCCACAGCAGCCTTGGGTAAGTTACAGGGGCCAGTCAATAAAAAGAGAATTTACTGTCTGAAGGTAACCGGCACACAGCAGATTGGAGAACAGGTGGCCTTTTTGAGTAGCAGCAGTCAGGTTAGGGCTAAAATTGAGCCCCGGGCCTCTACTTGAGGCTTTAGCATTAGTACTGCCTCTGCATGCCACTGTTAAGGGTGGCCTAAATGGGGAAAATATAATTGTGTCTCTTTCTTGCTGGGTGTGTGTGTGTGTGGGTAACATGCCAGCAGAGCAAAGTTGGGCATTTTCTGAATTGTTAACATGTCAAGCCTAAAAAGTTCACCATCACTGATCTAAAGGCTCATGAGTTACCCATCACTTTCTTTTAAATTGATTGGGCCAGGACAGTTTTAGCAGGTGCCACTCAAGTGACACCAAACATTTAAAAATCAGGGTAACTTCTTTTGACAATAAACCAAGAAAAATCTGCTCAGAGAAAAATATATCAAGGCGCTAATCATAATGTTATCTAGATACTTGATAAAATAAAAGAAACTTTAAATTAGTCTAATCCTTAACCCAAAAAATCCAGTTCCAATTCTGTAACATTTGTGGCAGTTCCAAATATATATATAAAGGAAAAGTGCATATGGAAAGGGCTAGATTTCACAGTCTTTAATGTCTGTCAGGGACATTATGCACTCTGGGATATCAATTTTACACAGGACAAAGGTATTTTCATGAACCTACCAATCAGCTTTCATTCCAAGCATACATATTGGATTACCCCTAACTTTGCACTGAGAACTACACATGATAGCAAGAAATGACCAAGTCTCAGGCTGCAAAAGCAAACATATGAGCAATCTAAGTTAAACTGAAATTAAAAAGCCAATTTGTAATACAAGTGTTATTAACACCTTTTTTTGATAATCATTGATATAATAATATAGCAAAAAAATAAAGAAAATATTCCTATTCACTTTAAAACCAATCTGCTTTGTTTATTCTATGAATCACACTAGACTAGTCCATGAATTTTGCAAGACCCATTATGGCTTCTGTTGGCTTTAAAAGAATCCCTCATAAATAATTGACATTTGCATTTAGACTTGAGATAAGCAATAGGTTTATTGTATTTGGCATTATATGAATAAAAAAAATAAACACAAGTATTTTAAATCTCTAGAAATATAAGTCTTAGAAGGCACTTTAATCTCCCTGCTTTCTAACTCTGTAACATACAATATAATATAAATATCAATATTGCTAATTGTAAACTGAAAATACCACCTGATATATGGCATGTCTCATGTATACAGACTTATCTCTTGGATTCTAAGTTATGCACTTAAACAAAGTATTTACATTTTATAATACAAGACAATAATAACAGTCTGTTAATGCAAATACTATTGTTATACCATTATCAATTATTATTTTACTTGGACAATTTTTTGCATAACTTCGTCCACATATTGCAATAAACTATACAGTTTTTTTTGTTTCTGCTGTATGAATATAACCAGTGTCATTTCTCAACATGCTGTTAGTAAGATATGCTGACATTCAAGTCTCAGCTGGCAGCCATTTGGCATGATTTGGAACTAGACTAAGAAAACTAATAAACAGTTGTGTGTTCCCAAACATACATCTTTTTGGCTAAAACCAGGAAGAAGCTTCTATGGCTTACTCACTGTTTCTTTAGTTTTCCGCCACTTGCAAAAACCAATTAGGTATTTATATTGTTAAAGCTTGGTTTAATCTCATCCTGTCATGTTGCTTGCCCTTCCTGGGGTTTTTAGTGTTGAAGTTAGATTGGTTGATTAGGGTGTGTGTGTGTGTGTGTGTGTGTGTATGTATGTATGTATGTATGTATGTATGTATGTATGTATGTATGTATGTTGTTTTAAACAGGGTGCCTTTTAGATGCTCATTTAGTTTCCCATCAAAATTATAACCAGTAGAATTAATAGTGTAATTACCCTGGATATTTTAATACATTTGAGATAGATATGTTAAATACTACATCAAGGGCCTTCAAACCTGGCCACTTTAAGACATGTGGACTTCAACTCCCTATGTTTGGAGACCCTTGCACTACATGTTTGATCGTAAGTTTTAACATATGCAATTTATTATTTGTAACTGGATACTGAGCTTGAAATATTTGCTTAGCTTGTGCCACTAGGTCATCTAGATGGTCAGGAAGACAAGAGCTTGGCTGCATTCCACTTCTACACTGCATTAAAGTCACAACATTTTCTTTGGGTGCTGGCTTAGCATACAATAAGAACACAGCTACGGTTTATGACTCAGTATCAAATAAAATTAACTTTGCCATTACAATTGCTCAATAAACCAAAGTATAGCATACTGTTATGTGTGAATCCAGCTACTTCCTTTTATTAGAAAGTGTTCCAAAAATACTTTCGTTAAAGACAAAATGAAATCATGCTATACTCCAATCTTCTCTGAGATGCTAGACAGACAAAGAAAAAATATTAATGAATTCCTTCTGAAGACTTTGGTGTTCAATGTTCTGAATAAGACAGTCAACAAGCAATGATAAACATGAATCTTCAAAGCAATATTAAAAAGAAAAGTTTAGGAGTTGCACTGTTAAAAATGTATCAGAATTTAAGTCATTAGAGCAGCTCAGATATTAACCATGTTTATCATGGCGGATTTTACCTACAGCAAACCTCAGTCTTTTTTCCTTGTTTCCTATTTCAACATGATTCTAAGATTAGTTATTGCTTTCCATTTGCAAAAATTGAATTATTTTTAAATATAGTTTTTTAAAGTTTCATAGTTAAGAATCTAAAACTGGCTTATTTCATGAAAACTATAGTTTTGGGATCTGACCTATCTGACAAACTATAATTAAAATAAAGTTTTGTAGCCATACCAGCGAATAACTGAAGAAATGAGTATTAAAATCTTTCTGGTTTAGTTAAGAAGCAAACAACCCATAAAGCAAGTGAGACCCTTGGGCCTCTTTTTTGTGACCAATAAACTGGTCAGAAAATTGCTAATATGTATGGCATGTTTTCTACTAATTTTGCAAAACAATAAAAACACTTTAAACACAACAGTAATGTAAGGCTGTTTTCTTTAATGAAAGCATAAAAATGTACTGTACTAAAAACCTGAGCTGTCCACATTCTAGTGATATCATTACTTATGCCCACTGTAATCCTTAACTATCTCCCATCCAAAATGTAGTTCCCTCTCTCCAGTTGGCTAAGTGCATCACAGCAATGTACTGTTTGTGTAACAGGAGATAATACCCTGATTCACATATATTAATAAGCCATGAATTATAGCCCAAACTGGATTTACAAATTGCCCTAAATTATAATAGTTGGTTGAGTTTGTTGAATGAATCAACAATTGCTCAGAAAACTTAAGCTGGGTTTAATATACTTTGTTAATATTTTCTCACACCATTCACAATATTTGGACAAGATGGAACTACTACACAGAGAGCAAATAACACGAAATGTAAGGGTCTGTATATAGTAACAAAACTATTTGTTTCATCAACAAACTTCTATCATCTCAATGTACTATATTGTAGTAAAACACTAGCAAAATGTTTTATGATTTGAATGCAAAAAAAGGTTCCTACAAAGATATTGATGTTTCATGTGGTTCTTATTCTATCTCTTATTCTGTGTCTTCTATAGAAATAGTTGCATCCTATTCAGGTGAGCTATTATCTTGAATTAGATTTTTAAAAAGCAATGAATATATTGTTTTTAAAAACCCAGGAATTTTTTGTTTTAACTACGGTCCATATGAGCCAAGATATCTGAAGCACAGTCCCTAAAGTCTACTTTTTCCCAGATGAGTCTGCCTCTGTATGTTCTTTAGGGACTGTGCTTCATGTATTTATTTGGCCATCTAACCAAGTGATTGACAAGAGCTAACAAGAATTAAAATACGATAAACAACTCTTCAAAACACCATTCACTAATAGCTTGGACTCAATTACTTTCCTGGCCTCATGCCTGGGAACAGGTTTATAAGGTTTTCCAAAAAACAAGCAGAGCCTGGGCCAGTCAAACCCTGGACAGACAGTTATGGAAAAGACATGTTTCCTGAGACCCGCTAGATAACAATCCATAATAGATAGGACCCTGAAGCAATTAGGCATGCCTCTCTTGACAAAACTAATGGATTATTAGAAATTATCTGAGTAACAGAGTCCTTCAAATATCTTTGGCTGATGCCATGTAGGGCTTTGTATGTAACAGTCAGCACCTTCAATTGCATTTGGAAACAAACCAGAAGCCTGTTCAAGTATAACGTGGGCAGAGAGGTATAACCATAATCACCCACATACCTGCTTTCTGGACCAGGTGAAGCTTCCTGAGTCTGCGATATGTCCTAGAATGGCTAAATGGCTAGGTAAGGAAACCCTTTTCTTATTTTTCTACTGACAAAACATTTGTTTGTCTCACTCCTAAGAACAAATAAAAGCTGAATGGTTTTATTGAAGCTTTTAACATTTAAGTTTTCAATATTATCTTTGCCATTTGAAATAATGTCTGGTTCGGCTTTAATTTATAACTGATTTTTTTCAATCAAAAGAAGGCAAGAAAGTTGTCAATATATAATAGCTGTAATTTGATTTCTTATGTGACAAAGTGAAATATTCCAAAAGTATTTGAAATATTTAATTTATGCAAACTCTAATAAACTATAAATAGTGCAAGATTACACATAAAACTGTGCCAAGTATGGTATATCAACAGCACTTTCTTTTCTATGCTAGCAAGTTGCTTCCACCAGTGGATACATGGCATGCATGAAACACATCTGGGCATTAAATACTCTTTTAAAATTATTCCAAGGGTGTACAACTTCCCTAGTGTACATCATAAAATAATTAGCTCATACCTTACCATTTTAACCAATGCGCCAAAATCAAAATAAACAAACTTTTCCTGCCTTTATTTTAACATTTTTGCCTTCAGGGCATTTTTTTTGCATGTTTTTAAAAATTATTTTTAGCCGCCTTACTTTACAAAGAAAGCAGCCCAGAGTTTTCTAGAATATGGCAGCCCCTAAATTTTATTTAGTAAACAAAACACAACTTTTTCCTTTTTTTAAAAAAAAGGGGGGGGTCTCTCTCTCTCTCTCTCTCTCGCCCCTCCCTTTACCATTTCCTCATCTGTTTCATGTTGAGGCGACTGTATCTTCTGTTTTGACGACTCAGAACAGCTTGTTTCACCCCTACACTTTGACCGAGCCAAACTCCCAAGGGGAGAACCCGAAGGTTTCCATCCTAAATCCACGCGAAGTTTCACGGGAGCCGGGAAATCGTCATTTCCACCGTACCACGTGCCTAAACCGCCAAGGGATTTCTCCCTCCCTCCCCCCGCTTCCTCCTCTTGACCCATCCGGGTTCATCTGCAGCAAAGGCCAGGAATGCCCCTTCCCTCCCCCGTCCCCCTCCCCTTCCTTCCATCCCACTTTCGGGGTCATTTTACCCAAGGCAGCTGCCGAGGGGATCGCTCACCACGGGGCCGCGGGGCAGGGCAGGGCAGGGGCCGACTGAATTGCTTCCTAACGGGAAGAAGAAAACCTTTGCGCGACGAGCCTTCAAGCGGCCGCCAGAGGACGAGCCCCGCCCCCCCCCCCCCCCCCCCCCGGGATGGCGACGACGCAAAGGAGCAATGCCTCAAACCTGCGACCCGTCTCCCCACCCCCCACCCCACTCCGGAGGCAACCCAACCCCCACCCCTCACCCCCACGCACCCTAAGGAGCGCCCTGGCTTCAGAGTTTTGCTTCAAGCACAGTCAAAGGCTGGGAAGTCAGCTTCTCCCCCTTCCCCCCCCCGCCCCTCCGCCCAGGGGCTCCCTCTACCCTCCTAAGTGGGCTTGGGACACTCACTACAGCTGGCTATGTACAAGGAAAGCGACCCCCCCTCCCGCGCGGCTAAGACGGGTGGGCGTCGTGATCAAAGCACCCACGCTCAGATCGTGGGTGGGGGGAGGGGGCTAGTGGCCAGCTGTTCCTCTCTCCTCCCCCACTCCTCCCAACCCCCCCCCACCCCCACCCCAAGGGGAAAGCCGAGCCAAGCGGTCCCGATAGTAGCGAGGCCCGACTAAAAAGAGAAAGGAGAAGCGTTCTTTGAAAAACAGGGAGATACCAGACAAGTCACCCCAACGTTGCAGAGACCGAGCGCACTCACCGTCAGTTGCGTGCTGTCCCTTCCCTGCCCCTTCCCGGGCTCCTCCTGGCGGCCACCGCCCTCGCCTGCCCCAGGGGGATCCGCCCGCGCTCGCTTCGCCTCCCTCCGCCTCCGGCCGGTTTCGCAAGATGGCGGCACTTCCGGGAGAGACCATCGAGAAGCTCCTGGAGAGACGCGGAAAAAAGGGGGAGAGAGAGAGAGAGAGAGAGAGAAGGAAAAAAAAAAGGGGGCGCAGGCGCGGTTTTTCTCTTCCCTCCCCCTCCGTTTTACGAATGAGCGCGCTCAGCTGATTCCCAGAAGCCGGGGCGCCTGATTCCAGTTCTCCTCGGGCGGCTGATGGTGCCGCTATGCCCGTCCCCGGCGTCCCTTCTCTCCCATTCTGACCCCGCGTGTCATGAGCTTCTCTAAAGACTCTCCACGACAGCCTGACCCCGATCTGACCAGGATGATCTCCGCCGCTTTGGGCCCCGGGATAGCCCGCCTCTTTTACTACCCGACCCTCTTGTACACGCTGGTGCGGGAGCGGCTGCCTGGCTCGCAACGGCCGTGGTTCAGCCGCATCGACCGCGCGGTGGTCTTGGGGGCCCTTCCACTGCGGGGACGCTGCCGCCAGGTAACGAAAACGAGGCTCTGCGGGATCCCACGGCTGCCCCGCGGAGGCCGCTCCGGCCACGGGGCTCTCGGTCGCCTCCTTTAGCCGGTCGGGAAGTGAGGACGGCGAGGAGGCATCCCTTTTCTTTCCCCGCCAGCTTCCTGGGTGCTTTGGGCGGTTCGTAGGAAAATATTTAGGAAGGTTTGTTTTTCCGCCGGGCCTTTGCTGCCCGCATCGTCCTCAAAGGCATCGACTTTCAAGAAGAGAGTGTCAGAAATGGCGTAGGGTCTCCCGCTTGGGCAGGGGGTTGGACTAGATGACCTACCAGGTCTCTTCCAACTCTGATGATCTGTTATCTGTTAATGTCCGTGGCTGCCCTGTCCCGTTAGGTTCTGAGGGGATTTGGCGGCGAGCTCCTATCGACTTAGAGCGGCCCATTTCTGGAAGACAGGAGCAACTTTTGCGGATGCCCTGATTGATGCGAGTGGGGTGGTGGCAGAAAAGGGCGAGAATTGGCTCAAATAGAGTAACCATGGAGGAAGGGATTGAAAATCGTTTACTCCTGCAGGTCTCAACGTTTTCTTCACCATGGACCACCTTTTGTGGCTACGGACCCCAAAACTTAACTCAAGATTTACAATCAAAACATTTCTCCAAGCTTTTGTGGGCAGGAGCTGTGATGACATTGTGCCGTACATAGGCCACAGGCTTGAAAGCCACTGGTTTACTCTGTAACAGCAGCCTCCAACCTTTTGGTCACCAGGGACTGGTTCTTCGAGGGCTACCTGGATGGTTTTGGTGAGGCTTTTTTTTTTTAATAACTAACAAACTGAGATGACTAGAGTCAATAAATCAGTTCCCTTATATTTGAAGGTCTCTCTCTGTGGAGAGGTTTTTCTGCCAACCTGGAGGGCGGTATGGTTTTGCATGCTGCCTACATCCCATGAATGGGGCCTAACGTGTTTGCATGGTGTTGGGGTCGGTGGGCTGCTTATAACTTCAAGATAAGGTGAGGAGCATTCAGTCACAAATTTGGTTTGAATGCCTTTTTCCTGTACAGTATAGATAGTCCTCGACTTACAACAGTTCATTTAGGGACCGTTCAAAGTTTCAACACAGCAACACAAGTGACTTAGGACCATTTTTCACACTTACGACCATCACAGCATCCCTATGCTGTGTCACACGATCGAAATTCAGACGCTGACTCATATTTACGGCTGTTGCACTGTTCCAGGTCATGTTGTTGTGACCTTTTGTGACCTTCTGAGAAGCAAAGCCAATGGGGAAGTCAGATTCACTTAATAACCATGTTACTAAATTTAACAACTGCAGTGATTCACTTAACAACGTGGCAAGAAAGGTCATACAATGGGGCAAGCCCCATTGAACAAATTTCTCAACATAGCAACATAAATTTGGAGCTCAATTGTGGTCGTAAGTCAAGGACTGTCTGTATATTAATGCATTACCTTGGGCTGAGCTGTGCAGTGGGGGTATTAAATTACAAGTTGGTTTTTGTTGTTTCCTCTGAAGAGTAAGTGAGGGGACCACGACAAAGATGCCTTCTGAGCAGTTTAATTCTAGCTGTAGACATTCTTCCACGCCCATGCAAGATACCACCTTGGAGATGTTCAAATATAATGGAACTGATTCACTGACTTTGGTCATCTCAGTTTGCTTGTTAGTTATTGGGGAAAAAAAGCCTCACCAAAAGCATACAGGTTGTCCTTGACTTCGTTTACTGACCGTTCAAAATTACAACGGCATTGAAAAAGTGACATGACCATTTTTCACCCTTATGACCCTTGCAGCATCCCCATGGTTCTATGATTTCCATTCTTGGCAACAATCACATTTATGACGGTTGCAATATCCCAGGGTCATGCGATCACCTTTTGTGATCTTCTGGCAAGCAAATTCAATGGGGAAGACAAGTTCAATTAACAACCATGTTACTAATTTAACAACTGCAGCAATTCACTTAATGAAGTGGCAAGAAAGGTCATAAAATGGGGCAACACTCACCAAACAAATTTCTCACTTAGCAACATAAACTTTGGGCTCAATTGTGGACGCAAGTTGAGAACTACCTGTACTTTTAAAAGAAGACTTCCTGACCTAACGCATTTCATTTGTTTTTATAGCCATAGGGAAAAGAGAAGTCTTAAGTGCATAGTAATAGTTATCTGAGCTGGGAATCAGGATATAGTTGGACTGGACCTGGTTAGTATTTGGGAAGTTAAGGAATTCCAAAATATAGGCTAAACTGGAAAAATGAACAATAATTCAAGAAAAAATTGTAAGCCACTTCAATTCTATGGTTAAAAAAAAACCTTGCACAGATGTATCCATGATGTCACCAGAGCCTGAACTTGCCTTTTTTTTAATTGGATAACAACATAACCAATAAAAGAGCTCTTATTCTTTGATACCTTCAGCTTGTTGGCTACAACTTGCCAACTTCCTACTCAGTTTAGAGATTAAGAATTCTCAGAACTGTTATCAATACATATAGAGAATGCACATTGGATATTAAAGGACATTTAGAACATTTGGGGATGTTGTAAATTGATTCTTCTTGCAGTTGATAGAACAAGAGAATATCCGAGGAGTACTCACCATGAATGAAGAGTATGAGACTCGCTTCCTATGCTGCTCTCCAGAAGTAAGTTCTGTTCATTATCACCAGTATATCACTAAGAGGATGTAACTAACAATCAATTTAACAGAGTACAAAGCCGAGTACAGAGTACCAACTGTTTGTGAAGAAACAATATGGTTTAATAACGTGTTTGACCATGTTTGCAGAAAAGTCAAGTCTTGATTTTTTTTTTTTTTCTGGTAGAGATTTGTAAGGAACAAATAATTTGGGATACGAAAATCAAAAGGATTTATCTCAGCAGGCCAATTAAGTTTGATGTGCTGAATGCAATCAAGTGCTAGGAGACTCCCTCAATTTTATATACACCATCACGAGGTTGAAAGGTGCACAAAAGAACAAATTGACCCTACACAAGATTTACTACAAAGAATTAAAGCGCGGGCTTTTTTTGTTGCTTAAAAAGCACGACAGGAGCATACAAAATCATGCATGGTGTAGAATTTTCTTTTGCCCACCCTCACTCATTGAAATTAAATACCAGTAAAAAAAAGTCTTTATGCAACACATTTAACTGTGAAATATACAGCTATTAGATGCATGGCTTTAAACACTTAAAACACTCTTGCTGGCTTTATAGTGCCTTCTAAGGGAAAGGCAACTTCTCTTAAACACCATGTTTGGGAGCAGCAGTGACCTCATGTTCTGCTGTGACTGCTGTTAGGTTCCCAATTCATCTGGTTGATTGCCATGTGACACATGTACAATTAGGCAGGATTTGCACTGATCCAAAACTTTTTGCTTTTTAAGGTACTGATCTGATTGCTGCCTTAATTTACGATACTATACTCACCTCTATTAATTACTTCTTAGTATCATCTAATGTTCTAGCCTTATTTCTTATTAGCCTCCTTTTGAAGTCTTCAATGAGCTTTTAATTATGTTGAAATAGTCATGGAAGTTTTTTAAATTAAATTTATATGATCACCCATCTCAAAGTGACTGGGCTGTGTACAACATGTTTTCCTGCAATCTACCCAATAGCTCCCTTATAGTTTTTCCTTCAATCTAATTCTTATTTTGGGGTTAATTACAGGAATGGGAGGCAATGGGTGTAGAACAAATGCGTCTTAGCACTGTGGACTTGACTGGAATCCCTTCACTAGAAAATCTCCAGAAAGGTGTCAAGTTTGTATTGAAACATCGTGAATGTGGAAACAGCGTCTATGTGCACTGCAAAGCTGGACGTTGTCGTAGTGCCACTATGGTTGCTGCATATCTAATTCAGGTAAGAATATTTTTTTAATGAACAGGTCAAGAATGGAATGGCAAAATAGCTGATGAAGAATTAACTGTTCAAGATGTGAAAGAAAAAAAAATGGGATTCACTTAAATGGGAGTTGCAAAACTTTTATCTTGCTAGGTGCTCCCAATTATAATGCTGGAATATACTACTGTATTTTAACAATAAATAGAAATTACATTTGGATTTTGTGGCTTCTTGTAGGTCCACCAGTGGACTCCTCAGGAAGCAATTGAAGTCATTGCTAAGATTCGTCCTCATATCATTGTCCGTCGTAAACAGCTGGAGTTGTTAGAGGATTTTCATAAGGCTGTAACTGATGAAAATCCTGCAGTTACAGCAGAAGCCAACAGATGCAAAACAACTACCACAGAATAAGCAAAGAGACAGAAAGTCACTGAAAGATACTCAGGATTCTGCTCTGAAAACATCTGGTTCCTAATTTATTAGGAGCAAGATATCAGTGTTTCTATTCTTGTAGAATAAGAGTGTTAATTACTGCCTGCTTTGCAATCAGTAGGTGAACATGCTTTGCCTTTTATACTGTCTCTATGTTTGATTACTTTAGAATAGATGCTTGGGACTTCTTGATAATGCTTTTCTCTCTCTGATATAAAATATTATGAAATCATAGTGCTGTTCCAGTAAAGGCCTTTATTGAGATTTGTACCCAAAGTTCTTACAGTATGTTTAAGTAGGATTGACACCTAATATTGGGATGATGATTCAGTACAATGATGTCAAGGGTAATTTTGCTAATCGTATCAGGTGGAAATGTATTGAGTAACAGCAACCCCTCCTTGTCCTTGAAAAACAAGAAATCTGAAATATGTATTACTTAAAATAATTCTACCTCAAAAGTTGTCTTTTGCTGTTCTAATTAGAAGGACTTTATAGGAAATCACTTATTGGAGAGATACATTTGAAAAATTGTAAAATTCACAGCATGTGCCCTAGTTCTAGATGGCTTAGTAGAGTCTAATAAGAGTTTAGCTATTTAGGACTGCTGTTAAAAATGGGTTCAGGCCTTGACTTTGGGAGGCAAGAAGCTGACCGGTAGGAGAAGCAATGGTAACAATAATTCAGCCATAACCCAGATTCACTAATTAAGTGCTAGTGAAAATAAGTGTACAACTAAGATGTTAATACTTGTGAAAAGTAGGAAACCTCTCTAAAATACTATGAACAGCCTCAAGAAAACAGCTATAAGGATCTACGCATCTTTCTGGCCTACTGAACGTGATGTTTCCGTTGTCCTGGCACTGAAATATCCTGGCTTTCAAGCCAACACAAACTGCAAATTTGTAAGTAGCACTTTGAGGCCACGGGTGACAGATACCACAGAGGTGGCTGGATTGAGTTTGAAAGTGCTGGCATCTCCCTTTTTGTAACAGTCTCGGAAGATGTAAATGTTACCATTGCAACTGGCAATTTTCCAAGGGGATGGGACTGAACTCCAAGCATCTGCCAAGCAGAGCCGAGTGAAGCTATCCAGCAGAGGATTATAGCACAACAGAGAATCTCCCTGTGCTACTATGAACACCAGGTCCTTGTACACAGCAGCATGCATGCACCCTGCAAAGGGTAACACATAAGGCTTCACATAACACTTCTCTGTCTTAGTGTCATAGCACTGAATCAGCCGAGAGGGTTTTGTAAAAAAATCAGCGTCATTCTCTTCACCACCTAACAAGTAAATGACACCATTGAGATTCACGCCTGCAGCCCCAGACACTGCTACTTCCAGCTGGCTTGTTTCTGTCCACACATTGTCTTTCACTTTGTAGTATATGATGGCATTAGAGAGGATATCTTGCAATGTTTTGCCGCCCAGTGAGTAGATTGCATCCTTGTTGAGCACAGAAACCAGAGTATGTTGAAGCCTATCTCGGGGCAGGGGAGCACACCATTCCCAGTCTATTGTAGTGTTATTGCACTTCCACATGCGCCGTGGAATGGATCCTCCAACAACATAGAGATCACTGCCATGCTTGCAGGCTGCAGTGATCTGGTGACATAAACTGTTCTGACCGCTAACACTGATGGAGTCGTCATCAGCACAGTGCAAGGAGACAGCAAGGGAATGTGTACGAGAGGATTCCTTTCCAATCAGGTAGATATGAACATTCTCTCCAATTTCCTAATAAGAAAGGGAACTTTTGTCAGCCTTGCATACATTAGTCAAAAGGAAGCATGCTAGTTAAAAATCCCCTACAAGCAAATTAGATTTTATGATATACATGAGAACCCATTTCTATTAAAACGTCCCACATCTCTTAGCTTTGATCTTTAATAGTCCACATGAAGGGTCAACCTCTCATGGCCCTTTTATTTCAAACAAGGGGATGAATAGACTATAACCATAAATATATCACCAGGGCTAATAAGCCAATTCAATGAGAATTGACTGAGTTGCATACAACTTCCATTCTCATAAACTCAGATTAAAACCAAGTAAACCATAAGAAAGTCATTTTGGGCTAGTGGTCAATGGGTTTTGCTAGAAAGCAAAAGACCATGAGTACAAGTACCGCTTTAGTCATGAAAGGCAGTTGGATTACCTTGGGCCTCTCTCAGCCCAGAGTTGCTATGGAGAAAATAAGAGGAAGGTATGTGAGATATGTTTGCCACCTTATTTGTAAAAATAATAAAAGGTGGGATACAAATAAATAAAATCATGTGTCTAGGACTGGAAATACATAACCAAGATTAAAATACTTTTCATGCTTTGGACGGATTAACCATACTGCTCCAATCTCATTGGAAGTACCAAGTATTTAAAAGCTGAAAGGGAATGATGATGTTTCAATGAATATCATTCCAAGAGCAGGGAAAAAGCTATCTAATGCACTTCTGCAGTTGGCAGTTCCTGAGCAAGAAAGGGAACACAGAGTCCAAACTCAAATCTTATGGGATGGGCAGATATGTGGGGAGCAGGTGACTCTACCTTTAAGCTTGATTGCAGTAACTCTAAGAAACCTGCCCGCTCTTCTTTATTGAAGCCAATCCAGGTTTCTATTGCAGCTGTAGGATTCTGAGAGGACGGGACCCCATCTGAACGATTGCAGAAGTAAACCAAACACACATTCTTGTAAAAATGCCAGAACAAGTAATCTCCTCAGATCTTTTCCCAATCCATTTAAACTGAATTCTATAGTTCTTATTCTACAAGTCTAGAGGCAGCAAGGATGTGTTCTATTTCCTAAGACTATCCAGTGAATGTGACTCACCCAGGAAATTTGAGTCAACACTGGCTAAAGAAGCACATTATCTTCCCCTTGCAGTCTTGTTCAAATACCAGATTTTTATTTTGATTGGATATTCTCAGGGTTTAATATCTTTTGTTGCAGATCATAGAATTAATAATTATGAACATGAACTTCCAATGTAATACAATGCAATGCATTGTAATGTTACTGTAATGAGATCCATTGTTAGATTGTAGTCCCAGACTTCACTTCTTAATCATCAGTATAGGCGACTATTGTGGAAAAGTCTATGTTGTTTGGCTGATCTAATTACAACAAAGAAAATCAATAGCTGTAAAAGCCAGCACTATTAACAAGATTTCAGTTTAAGAAGAGTGTCGCTAGTTTAAATGCTATACGTTCACTATAAATTTGTTGTTAAAATAAGATACACATAATTGAGAGTAAACTTAATTTTCATGTACGTTATGCTTTTGGAAACTTCTAATGCCCGTATTAGATTTTGCATATATAATATTTCATTACAAATGCTTATATGCCATGTTTATAGTGAAGTTTCACATAACTAATAAAAATAAAATGCAACAAAGAAAAATAGATTACTTGTTTGCTCTCTGAGCTTGGTTGTTTCTTTTCAGGCATTTCATTACTCAGCTAAATAACATCAATGCAAGTAATTGTGGGGTTTGCCCACATCTCTCTAAAAGTGGCATAGTAAGCTACTGCATATAAATAGGGAGCAAACCCTACACTTACTTGCACCAATGACGTTATCTAATTGGATAATAAAATGTCTGCAAGCAAACACCAAACTCAGAGAGCTATAGATACTCTCTTCTATTAAAAAGAAAAATCAGTAAAAATAACAAACTAATATTAAAAAACAATTATACAGTAATTGTATAAATACTGGTAAAATAACATAATTCAGGTATTCAAGTCCCCAAAAATGACAATGGAAGGTTACATAAATTTTACTTAAGCCAATGAAAAGGCAAAATGAACCATCCACATAGCAAGCAGTTCCAATTCAGGGATAATTTTGGAAAAACTTTTATCTGAAATTCAGTTTCTTAGATTGCAACTGACAGGAGGCCTTTATAATGGTCTTAATGTACAATATGGATAGGCTTTAATAGAACCCTAAATAGTATAAGGTTATAAATGTCATCGCAACATTTTTATTTAGTTAATAAACGGATTATATGGCTATTCATCTCATCAGTAGAACTCTGCTGTGAATAGACACCATTCTGAAACAGGACAAATAAAATAGTTTTAAAAATAGAGTTGAAAAAATATCACTGGTATATAACATACACATGCTTATCCTGGTTCTAGTTACTGAAAGCTACTGAGAGATGGAGGGTTCTGACTGATGCATTACCAACCTCCCAATCTTGCCAGCACAATCAACATAACCTTAATAATATAACCTGTCATAAAACCCAACTGAAATAGATCCAGTTGATCTGGTTCTGCCAAAGCCCTTGAACTGGACCTGGAAATAATAAGGAAACAATACACTTGTTTTTCTAATGGACATTATTCTCAATACTAATCTCTAATCATTCTGGGCAGTGAACTGTTGAACAATAAAGATTCAAAGTAAATCCAATTGCAGGACAATTAGACAATTATAAACAGCAATATCTGTCTTCTTTACAAAAAGGATTACCTAATACATCATTCATAGCTCAGTTGTTAAAACTGAGTCGCCAGAGTAAAAACTGTAAGATTTTCTTGAAAAACTTTCAAGAAAAATTCTACCTCATCTATTATAAAATGCACCTCTATTTTTAACAGTCCATAATACACAGTCCCAATGTTGTGCAAAATTGGAATTTTTAAACCATACTTTATTGAAATAAGTTGCCCAGTTTACATTTTATATACAAAACCACAGTGACTGATATCACATATTGCACAATCCCCCAAAGATGATTGTGTGCGATGTGTGAACCTAATCAATTTTTCCAAGTCTCATCCACAGCAAATTTTGCAGAAGAGTTGTTGATTGCATTGAAAGCTGAAAAAAGGTTCAGGAGAAACAACATGGAGGTATTTCTCCTGACCGTGTATAGATATGTCAGTTTAAACAAATCTTTATCTGTCCCAAACGTGGCCTGACGTAAATCTGAATTTGGCTATGAATCAGAGTAATGAATATATTAAAAATGAGTTGGAAAGCCATCATTACCATCATAGATCTTAGAAACTGACTTACCTGAGACAATATCTGTCAGGAAACG